GATCGGCGATTGTCGGTTAACGTAATTGACACCTGTAGCAAGACCAACCTGAATCAGGTACTTAAAATTACGTCAAATGCATCAGTCAGCAGATATCCATTTTTTCCTGAAGAATATGCGCCATATGCGAGAACAAACACTAATTATATTATCCGTCAGTATAGTGTATTGTACTCACTGATCTATTAATTCTTTTTCTAATTTTCCTTGTAGATGTAGCTGTTCAGCAGATAGAAACTTACTGCGGCTAGCAGCATCCAAGAACATGCCTAAACTTCTGTGTCAACCAGAGCAGATATGACTAACTTTCACAGCTACTTTCGAGACCTTTTCCAGTTTTAGATGTCGAGGATAGCAACAATAGCAATTGTATACAGCGATGGTTGTATTAATGTTCCCCTATGACCACAAAATTGTCATATTTGCACAATTGCAACAATTCACTGGGCAAGACATACATACTTAACCATCGTTTAGAAACCAATTTTCCATCAGCAGTACGTTAGCACCGAGTTTTACCAAATTCTCACATGAAAGTTAAAAGTTTACTATTTAGATGGGTTCAGTTCAAAATCTTGACCTTCATCGAAGGTAAAAGACAAATATGTGGACATTAAATGTGAAATAAATAACTTGAATTAAAACAAAAAATTAAGCCATAGACAAAAGCATGAACAAGGCACTAATTGATCAGTTCGACGATATTCACGTGTAGTAAATGCACAATTCATTGCGAAAACTTCGAAAATAGAAGCCGAATCTGATAACTGAACAACAGCAATGTTTAGTTCCGATAGTTTTGAGCTAGACGACTGATCAGGAACAGCAGAGAAACTCGGACCCTTCATGTAGTCTTAAATGGGTTTGGAACCGACTGCACTTTGGGGCTTAGCATCACAATTAATGCAAGAATACAGTGTAGGTGTTCTCTGGTGTTGTCGTAAATTGACGTGTTAAGTGATTAAAGTAGTGTACTCCCTCGTGCACTGCCATCACGTAGCCCAAGCTTCATTATCGTAAGATTCCTAGCTTAATCTGAGTTTATCTCATGTCTGAAAGTTGTTTGACTTGCCACAAACGGTGTACGTGCTCATAACATTTTGCCCAATCCTCAGCAAAGAACATAACATTTTAGTATTGGCAAGAAAGATCCTGAACCAACATCCCCAAAACCATTAACGTTGACCGAGCTACCAAAGGTTGCCATCCTACCTCCCTAGTTTTCACTCTTAGCATTCTCACCAGTGAAAAATTTTTATCTGATTTTAACCGGCAATCCAAAGCCTCCTTGTCTCGCGTAAAGTTTATCACTTCCTACTCCGGGTAACGAGAATGTTGGACTACACAGATTTTTATAATACCTAACTTCGTCAATGGGCATCTTTCTATTTTTCAAATTTCTGCCAAGTAGCCGCCATAATATTGAGCGCGATAAGGTGGAAAATTTTTATGACACTCCGTTAACTGAAAAGCAAACAGGTCTTTCGCCTTCTCAGCTGTAAATATTGAACTTGACTCAAAAAGTAAAGATTAACGTTTTCTAATGCTATTTTCTGATTAAGAGAGATCTGAATGAATCAATGCTTGATAATAGTTTTGGGCTATGTTCATATATTACGCTTATATAACTTTAAATCAAGTTGATGCGTTGCTTTTAGACGATAAACTGGCTGGGTTTCAGAGTTCATTTTTAGAGGTAAATAAGTTAGATATTCCCTCAACGCTTCTATCTGGCGCGTACCATGAATTCTTTTAAACGGATTTACGTTAATCTACCGTAAAGTCGGTCCGCTTTTGGTTGCAAGAGAGGTTAATGACAGGCCGTAAAGGCTTGAACGACATCTGAACAGCATACACTGTCGTGTTTATCTGGCACGCGCGATTCTTTGCTTTCATCCTGTAAACAGTAATATTTTAGCCACGCCATGTTTACGGTTAAAAGATTTAATTTTAGAGACATTGACCACTGCTTCAGCTTTCTGTCTGTGGATAAAGATTGTCGAGCGATCGTGTTTTCCGGTAATGGGAAGTTTTTCTGCGCAGGCATGGATTTAAGCGGCCTGGCAAATATTGGTACAGTATCATCTGATACGTCACTGGATGTTGCGCGAAAGGCGTTCAAGCTACGACAGTCGGTCATCGATTTGCAACGTCGCTTTTACTCTTTGGAAACGGTCAGTGTTTAAGCCTGTGGCACAGTTACTCGTTGCACAAGTTAGTTTTTTTAAAAAAACAGTTTACATTTCACAAAGTAATGAGGTTGTTGTCATTTCTTTAGCTTGGCGTTTATTACGTTACGGTTTTCAGTCCACTGCTACCCTTCAGTGTGCAATCCATGCACTGCAATGATTTTTGCATCCCTAGCACTCGGGGAAATGGATTAGTAGTATTGCACAGCATTAGTAACACCTTCACAGGTGTCAGATTCAATTAAGCCATTTAAATTTTTTTTTATTCACTTCTATTCCATTGACAAAGGAATTAAACTCACTGTGCTTCAGTCCAACAGATCTGTTAATGGGTAGGAAGCCAGGTCGCTTTCGTGATGGAGCAGTTTCTCTCGCTCGTTTTTTTCATGAGGTCAATAGCCTGGCACTGATTTCCATTTCCATGCCGTCAGCCAAGATTGCCTTAGTTCAAAGACGAGTCCACAGCAGCTATGCGAAGAGTGTTTAGTTTCCGTTTTCCTTTCCAGAAAGAGGTACTCATTTATCAGTCATTGAAAGAAGAAAGGCGAGTGACCCGACAGGGTTTAGAACTCGGGCTCTCTCGGTTGTGAGTTCGATGTTCTGCCAGCAGAGCAGTACGGACTAATTTTAGATAAACGGGTTGCAAATTGTTAATCTGCTAAAAGTACAGACAATATGGTGTTGTGACGTGATAATACCACAGCATGAAGCAAACAGTCTTGTTGATGCTCTGTGGCGTGTTCCTTACAGATACAATTATCTATGACTCACTTGATAGTTGTTTAAAGGTAAATGCAAAATGAAATTCGTAAAGAAGCATAATAGTAGATGCACTGGATGATGAAATGCGGTGAAATATATCGTATTCATACATAAAAATAAGCATCGACGTTATGGGTTTAATAGCAAACTGCTAGCTTTGATACCGTACCAAAATAACTTTTTCGTACTACCGGAATTATACGGCGTAGACGCACCGAACCTTTGCTACTAGTTACCTAGGAGAGCATATACCAACGGCTGCATTGTATTTTAGCACCTGCAGTGCCTGTTTGCAAAACCGCATCACTAGGTTGGGCCGAAGAAAATGCTGTTCGGACATTTGCTGATATGTCACTATCCGCAGGCATATTTATGTTTAAAAATAAACACCAATCTTATGGGTCTACTAATAACTTGCTAGTTTTCGATTGCCGGTAGGAGGCGGTTATTTGTAAGGTAAACTTGGGTAGTAGCAAAGACCATTTGCCAAGGTCGTTTGAAATAGAAATCACAAACAAAATGGCCCCTTCCCCAGTCCCTGTATGCAGCTGATGTCAAACTACGACGGATTACATCATACTACTGATAGACAACAACCGATGTATTGCAGCAGTGACGGATTGACGCCAAAGTGCTGCTGCAATGCAAGCGCTAAAGTACCTCAGCTCAGATTGGTGATGAACGCTGAAACGGAGATATGGATTATTATGGCGACAAGTCACAGGGGACTTGGTAGCAATGATACCCGTCAATTACGAGGAACGATCGATCAGTTCTTGTCAGTGAAATTCCTTACCAAAATATTGTACCCGAACAGGGTTGGGGAATTTATTCCTGCGTTGTTTACCTTTTGTGAACGTAATGCACATTTTGATGTTCGACGAGAATGGAGGTGGCGGGCCGCACTAGCCAAGATGATGCTAAGGAACTTGCTGACGGTGAATACAGTTTTAAAGGGAGACAAGGTAGTTTACTACGATTTAAACATAGTCATTAGGCAGCATGACCGGAGGTTGCACTATATTTGGCAGGTCCTTTGTAAGAGACGGTACAATATCAATTGTTCGGGTCATCAGTCACTGACAGGTGAAAGATGAACAAAGATAACGTTGAAATGAGATCCTAGTTCAAAAACATTAGCATTAAATCCAAAGAATGGTGAATTCATATGTATATCGATGAAGAACATTTCGCCACCTTACTTCGCCCCTCTCGGTTACTGTTTTTCTTGAAATGAGTTACACAGAAAGAGAATGACTGCGTCATGCTTAATAATTCTTTACTGTTGATTTATTGCTATCTTTTTGTCTTCTTTCCACTCCACCGTTTCTAATGTTTAAATTTTTTTGTAATTAACTGGACATGTATATTTAAATGCTTTTGTTCTACATATCTTCTACGTTATAGCTCTTTATATCTTTTCATGCTCTGTCGGTGCTGAGTATACATGGATATTTATACATTATCTTCTTATCGCATATTTAAAATCCAGCTTCCTCTGTGAACAGTGTAGTAACTTCGTTTTTATCTTTGGTGATGTCATTTGATCGAAAATGAGTTTTTCATGAAGTTATTGCTATGCAGTATTATATCGTGCGCTAGTGACCTGAAACCAAGATTTATT